GGCAGCGAGAAGAGAGCTACATGACAGTCACCAGAAAGTTCTCAGAGGAAATATGCCAGTCACTGTTAGTGGCTGGTGCCTGTGGTGTGGAACTGAAGGGGATTTTCCCCGCCTTGCTGCCACCTAGGTTATGGGTCTGCTGTGTCTGCTCGAAGAGTGGCACAGTCGGGAAGGAAGGTGTCAGGGTGCATGGAGCCATCACTGGGAGCCGAGTCAGCTCTCTTTTCTCTTGTGAGTGACAAAATAGATTCTGAGTATGGTCTCTACTCCTGCTCCTCCCTTTCTGTGTCTCATTAGGAAACAAACAGGCATCTTCAGACAGTATGAAATATTATAAGGTAAAATAAAAAGTAACTTATCAGAATTAGCACAACAACCAAAGGAAAAGGCACAAGAAACAGACATTTTAATGTCCTGTAAGACCCAAGTTACTGTGACACTTTAGGCATAGCTCCTAAAGGGACATAAGCTGAACTAGAGCTCAGGTGGGGAGGGCTCAGACGCTAAGCCACTGCTCACAGCATCCCATTCCTGGCAGGATTACACCAGCGGAGCCATGCTCACTGGGGAGCTCAAGAAGACACTCATAGATGTCCTCCAGCCTCTGGTGGCCGAGCACCAGGCCCGACGAAAGGCGGTCACCGAGGAAGTGGTGAAGGAGTTCATGACTCCCCGGCAGCTGTCCTTCCACTTTCAGTAATGCTTCTCTTCTGTGTGCACATAAAGACAAAATCTATCAATAATCCCAGCCCCTCCAATCAGTCACACTCCCAGTAGGTTTCTGTCACGTGGTAATTCCTGGACCTGGGTCTCTACACCCTTTTGCATTCTGGATGCTGTTTCTTCTGTGATGTCTCTCCGCCTGTTGTCTGCTGAGGATGGTCAGGTGCTGCTAATGTTGTGTGGTCACATAGAAACCCAGCCGAGAATCTCCCCCACAAAGAGCCCAGGTGTGGCACCTCTGTGCCCCACAGGACTGTCCATCTAGCACCCTAGGGTTCCAGATAAATTCCCCAAGTCTGTTGGTTTTCTTTTTAAGTATATGTGCTATGCATGGTGGTGCACGCCTTATAATCTCTGTATTCAGGAGGCAAAGGCACCAGTTCTGGGCCAGCTGGGGCTACCCAGCAAGAGCCTGTCATAATTTGTGTTTGATTCTGAGTCTATGGAGTCAGAATGTCATTATTGTAAAACTAAAAACTGCTGTGAAAAACCAATGAGGAGAATTTTAGTGGGCAAAAGATGCTGTGCTTGAGCCCATACCAACTATATATACATAGATATATTTATACATTTGCATATAATATATATAAGCTTTGCTGGTACTGACTAGGAAATGATCACCTTTGTCCTGTAGATGTAGCTCAAGTAGTAGAGCACTCACCTAGCGTGCATGATACCCTAGGTTCAGTCTTCAACACCACAGTGGAGGCTGTGGGGGATCATTCAGCTCTAAAGCTGCTTTTAACACGGATTATGGACCAGGCTGGACCATTTCTCTTAACCTGAGTCTTGTGGGTGAAACTTGAGGCTGAGGTAACTGAACTCCAGATCACATGTGTTGTCCACTCCAGAATCATGCCTGTTGCCCTTAGTGTACTAACTTTTTTACAAATGGCCCAGCCTCCACTTTTTAAAACCCAGCGGTGACTTCTCCCGACCATCAGACTCTAAGGACAGTCTGTTGCCTTTGCAGATGCTTTTGTTTTGACACTTGACTGAAGTGGAGGGCAGCACAGAACAGTGCTGGCTGTGCCCTGGGCCGGTGAACCATAGCTAGACAGGAAAGAACAACAGCCATCCAGGCCCTGGCATTCTCCTTCCGGGCTGGCCCTGTTTGAGCCACCACTCAGAGTCTTGGCAAAGCCGAAGCCATATCTCAGGGAAAGCCCCTGGTTGGACGTGTCTGTCCTCTCTGAAGGCACAAAGGCCACTCTCGAATGTTCTGTCCTTGCAAAAATAAACTTTGTTGTGCTCCTGCCTTTGTCACCATCTGTCCAAGCAGGTTTCAGAGGTACCTGCACTTACTGCCCCAAGTCTCACTACACCCATGCTGAGGCTGTGGTCATCCCCCTTGTTGGGGGAGGAGGGAGAGGGGCCCATGGTGCTTAGAGGCAGGCTCCCAGGGACTGTTTCTGTGTCAGCCACTTGTCCTGAGGAGCCACCCTGTCCCTGCGACTGCTTTCCCACCTTGTTTAACGTTCTAACGGCCTGAAGAGAGAATGTGTTTATGCTGTCCTGTCTGCAGAGGCCTGGGTGCTCAGGGGGGTACTGAGGAGGGAAGTGTGACTCTCCGAAGGCCACACAGTGAATTTGTTACTGAGCAGTCTGTTCTGACTTAGTATTGAGAGCACTAAGGTGCATACCCTGGGAGGCCAAGGCCAGGGGCCGTTTTAGTGTCAGCCCGTGCAAAAGTCAGAGTATGGCATGAAGTCCATGCCGGCTCCTCTCGAGGCCCTGTCCCACTTTGTGGCCAGAGTTGGTGAAGCAGATGGCAGAGCACTGCCTTGCGCTCTCTCTCTGATCCAGAGTGACTAGTGTCACTTGCGATGCCATAGCTCCCATGGGACATAGAGCTGCAGACGAGGGAGAGATGTTGCTGTCGTTGTCTACCCAGCCAGAGCATCTGACAGCTTAGCTAGGATCCTGGTCCCAGGGAGGAGTGGGCACCCAGGCCAGCCCCCTCCCACTGACCACAACTTTAAGAGAGTCACTTGACCTCTTGGGAACTCCGTCTCCTCCATGTAAGACAACACAGAGGTGATAGCCAAGGCTGCTGCTAGTCATGGTGAGGGTAGAATAGCTGCCACTTTTGCTGAAAACCAGGGGATTCTTAAAGCTCCCTGAGAGAAGGGGGCAGCCTGGGGATGGTGTCCAATACAAATGGTCCAGAGCCTTCCCAGGAAGAACAGCCTTCACTCTGAACGGTGTCCTCAGCACACAGATGCGGGTGACAGCTCCCATCAGGAGCAGCATGTGCAGAAACTCTCCAGAGCTGCACTATTAGCCCTTCTTCTGGGCCCATGGCGCTGTAGCCAGCACAATCTGTGGGAGCTCTCAAGGGGCAGCTTTTAGCTCTCCCTGAAACGCTCGGCTACAGCCTTGAATTTTCTGGAAGTAGCCCTGTGGGAGACCAGCTCTTCCCCAGTGTGAGATCAGGAGCAGCCAGCACCTTCCCTCTGATCTTTACTTCTGGCAGCAGGAGTGAGGCCAGTGATGGTGACTTCTGCCTAGAATCCCTGCACTGGGGAGGCCGAGCAGGTAGACAATGAATTTGAGGCCAGCCAGGGCTATATAGTGAGTTCCAAGCTCTTCCTGCTAAGTCACTTCCCTCACCAATGGCAGCGTGGACACTGGGCTGGGGCAACAGATCAGTGATTAGGGTCAGCAGGACCCAGAGCATCCTCCTGCCCTGAACCATGTGAATGTGGAACTTCACACCTTTAACCCCAGCCTTTGGGAGGCAGAAGCAGGCAGATCTCTGAGTTTGAGGCCAGCTTGATCTACATAGCAAGTTCCAGGCCAGTCAAGACAACATAGTGAGACCCTGTCTCAAAAAAAAAAAAACTTAATGAAAGGAAGGGAGGGAGGGAGGGAGGGAGGGAAGGAGAGAGAGAGAGAGAGAGAAAGAAAGAAAGAAAGAAAGAAAGAAAGAAAGAAAGAGACTGGTTACCAGTGGCCCCAGACAGAGTTGGTAAATTATTGGGCCCTTTCATTGGTTGTCCTTTTCCAGGCACTGGCCCAGAATGTCCCAGCATCTTGACCTCTCTAAACTAGGTGAACTTTCAAGTTCGGGAACTAAAACGAAAAGGACTTGAGGCTTGCAATTGAAGAGGCATATGGAGTGCATAAGTCAACATAAGTCAGTGTTGAAGAATGCGAGCAGAGTGGGAGCAAGCCCACAAACAGCTTTTAAATCTGTACAAAGTAACTGAAATGACTTGAAGAGAAACTATACCTGAAAGTGGAGGAGAACCCCAAGGCTGAGGGACTACGTGTGGCAAATGAGGGGAAGAGGACATTCGAAAAGTCCACAGCAGCTCTGTGTGTGTGTGTGTGTGCCCCTCCCAGGTGCCTGCAGAGGGTGTCTGGGCCAGCTCTCCCTCGCCTGCAGCTGGAGTCCTGTCCCTCCAGAAGCCTCCCATCCCCACCTGGACGCTCTGGCTTTCATCATAACCAGGGCCTTACTGCAAAGCTAGTTCCTCTGTTCATCAGAGGCTGAGAAGTCCTGGGCAGCTCCCAGTTTTAAGATGGGACAGATAAGCAACCAGCCAGCTGGCTAGGCTCCATGGGAGGAGCCCAGAGTATCTCTTCCGGGAGAAGGGGAGGCCCAAGAGATGACGTCAGGCAGTGGGAGGTCTTGCAGGCAAGGGCTCTGGGTGTAAGATCGGTGCTGAAGGGCCTACGTGACAAGGGCAGACCCAGAAACATATTCCGCACCTTCTAGAAACTGAAGTTTTATTGGAAGAGAAAAACAGGAGACCATTTGGTGCATGCATGGCCAGGCCTGGCATCTGAACCTGCCCAGCTGAGGCGGGTATCAGTCAGCTTTACCGCAGGGCTGTTCTGTGAAGACCCAGTGGAGTCACACTGTGCTGCCAGCTCCACTCCCAGTGACGCCCAACACCGGAAGCCACAGGGTCTCCGGAAAGGGAGGCCTGAAGCACGAGCAAATCCCACGTGTGCCTAAGAGCAGACGCTAGCCTCTCCTCCCCTCCCCTCCCAGCCTCTGGCCCCCGCACTTTCCTACCCTGTCACAGTGCTCCAGGAGTTCGGCCGGTAATGACACAGATAACAAAGTACACAGCCCAGAAGTAAAGACTGTGCAGGTTTCCCCAGGGACCCCTACATAACGGGCACCTGGCTACCCACGTAAGAACTCTAGGCCATCTTAGCCAGGGCTTCACACAGCCTCTCCCACCATGAGCTGACAGGTTTCACGGCATCCCGGTGAACACAAGGTTGGAGGGCCAGCACCGTACAGATCATAGCAACACTGCTAAGCAACCTCAGAAACATTTATTGACCCAGGTTCCAGGGTCTTTATGTGGCAAGCAGTGTAAATGCGTACTCAGTGAAGCCCCACACCAGCTCGTGGGACAATGAGGACTCTGGGCCCTCTTGGACAGCCTGGGACAGGGAACAAGCCCAGCCTGTAGCCAGATGGTTCAGCTTGCTGTCTGGTCCCTCACTTGTCTCTTAAGGGAAGAGTGTGGATTACAAGATGAGTGGAACTGGGGCTGGTGAGAGAATGCTCTGAGGTCATGGGTGTGGACAAGGGAGGACACTCAGGAATGAACAGTTGCTCGGCGACAAATGACTCCAAGTGGCACATCCTCATCAAGGAGACCCACACAGCCTTGACTCGTGACCCCCCAAGCAGATCAACCCCCTGACTTTGTGAGCAGCAGCTGGGCAGGCCAAGCTCAGGCCTCACCTAAGTCACTGCACAGAAGGCCCTCTGCTGTTCCAGTGACAGCCCTGTGGGGTCCTGAACCCAACCATGCTCCCGTTGGCCTCCAGCGGCTGTGAGCTGGCTGCTACCGACCCAGTGGCCCTATGTGAACAGTCTCCGAGTGAGCCGCAGCACAGCCTCATAGGCCACGAAGACCACCATATTGACAGGAAAGGCACGGCAGCAGTTGAGCGTCAGCCCTTTGAAGAGCACCCTGGGGCCCTCCTCCCGCACGCTGGTCACCACACAGTGCAGGAGGCCCCGGTAGCGCTGCTGGCCCTGCCCGTCTGCCTGCAGACGTGACTTGATCACATCCATGGGAGTGGCCACGGCCCAGGCCAGGACGCCCGCACATCCGCCAGCCACCAGCACACCTAGGACATCTGCAAGAGACACCGTGAACATGCCTTATTGCAAGCTTCTCAGAGACAGGACCCAGCCAGGACAGCTCACTGAGTCAGGATACACCCCTCTGTCACAAAGTCACTGTGTGGCCTTAGACAGACACACACCTCAGAAACCATTGAAAAATAAGGCAAAGATGCTTAGCTTGATTCAGTGTTGGTGAGCTAGCTGCACTGTGCAGATTCCTCTCCCAGCCCCCAGCCCACTGGGCCAACTCCACCGTTTCTGCCTGTCACTCACCTGGCTGGCTATGGCCAGCTGGGGTGAGCCACTCACAGAGCATGGCATAAGAGAGGAAGTAGGTAGCAAAAGAGTGACCGTCACGAAGGAGCAGAGCTGAGCTGCCCTTGTAGAGCCCCCGAAGCCCCTCTTCGCGGGCCACTGTGACTAAACAGTGCAGCGGCCCATGGTACTTGGGCCTTGGTTCCAGACATGCATTGGTTGCAGGACACAAAGCAGGAGCCACTGATGTCCAGGAGGCTGAGGGCCGCCGCTGCTGTGTCTGAGCTTGGGCCTGTGTCTGCAGGCGGACCTTGGCCACCTCTGTGGGTGATGTCAAGAACACCTGGGACAGAGAAGAAGCAAGGTTAGGACATGCCTACAGCCTAACCGTTGGCTCTAAGACCCAGTGCTGAGAGCCCAGATCCCAAGAAGCTGCAAGCTGGTCCCAGGGTTTTGATAGTGCTGGGTTGAAAGCCAGCTCAGACCTATGAAGGCTGAAACCAAGGTCTCCTGCATCGGAGAGTACTGGCTTGACACATATCTGGTGCTAAGTGAAGAGCACAGTTGACACACTTGTTTGCGCTGTAGTCATATTGCTAAAAGCAGGGCATGGTGGTCACTGCGGGACACAGATGGACCAGGCTGCCCTGGGGTCTTTATACCTCTGGTCTGCCCTAATTCTCCTCACACCTCTTGCAGATCAGGTGGCAGCTCAGAGGCTGACTAGTCTCATTGGCCTTTGGTGTCTGCACTGTATACTGGAGCCAACACTTAGCCCACAGCCTGTGGAAACTCTAAGTAAGGATTGAGTGGTTTACCCATGCTCCATCCTGACCTATGAAGAACCTCAGCTGCATTTGCAGCGCTTGTTCCCATCTGTGGTGCCTGATGCTCCATCTCCACTGAAGATGAAGGATGCCAGGTGTCCATGGTAACACTAGATGGTGTTCAGGCATTTGTTGGGTACCCTGAAGATGGAGCTGGGAAATCACAAGCACCTGAGTGCTATCTCTGTGGCTCCCCACACCCTCACAGGGAGCTTCTTTATGGTCATTTCCTCCTCTCCACTGGAGCATTCTGGGAGGGACACCAAAAGGAGCCTAGCCCATCCCAGGCAGGATACTAGTTCCTCACCACAGTCCCCATGCCCTGTAGGTTCTAGCTTCCCAGGGCCTCAGTCTTGACACCTGCTGGGAGGTAAGATTCAAATGCCCTGGTTATCTCTGGTGCCCTTCCACCCTCAACTGCCTCTACTCACCCGGACAAGGCCAGAGGCGCCTCCTGAAAGTGTGATATCAGCCTTGGTGGGCTTGGCGTCAGTGCTGCCGTACCGGAAGCGGCAAATGTGAGCCAGGCAGTGGTGGTAGGTGCCAAAAGAAACAGACGACACCAGGGACACAGTGCACACGGGCAGTGAGAGGCCCCGGTAGAAGCCCCACACCTGGTGGATAGGGACCAAATAAGGACAGGACCCAAGAGAGAATGCCCTGGGGCTGGGACATCTGGGACTGACCACCACCTCCCTTGCCACCAATGTCTCCAGACATCACCCCTGGGATCTCAGCACTTGACTTGATGTTTGAGGTGTTGAAGACAGCTGCCTGGCCATGCTGGTGGAACCAACATGATGCTTAGCTAACCCCTGCCTGCACCAAGTCCCATGTCGCTTGCATAAGTGTCTGTAAGACATTCCCCTGGATGGGCTCCTCCCTGACCTTCAGAATCTCAGGTTCCCCTGTGTCCCTTCCCTGAAAGACAAGGGACTTAGTTCTGTACCAAATAGGGTTCCCAGTTCTCTGACTTTGGGACTCAGAGGGGATCTCAGGGCTGGGCACAGCCATTCCTGTTTGGAGGGCCAAGGGGCTAGGGGAAGGGTATCACTAGCAAGTCCCAGTCCCTGATGCCACCCTACCATCGGGCCCCAGTCCTACCCGCTCTTGACTGTACGTGTTCCGGATGCAGTGCCAAATGCTGGTATACTTGGCCTCAGTCTGGATCCTGACCTATGGGAAAGGGAGAAGGCTTCAGGAAGGGCTGGCTCTAGGCCTGGGGCAAAGCCAGTAGAAGACTAGGTTCAGCCCCTTGACTGTCAGGCATGCTGCTGTAGACTGAGTAGGGACAGTGAACACCGTTTAGAATGAGACCTCTGGGGCACAGGGTGAGAGACGACAGTCCCAAGGGCCCTAGGGAAGCATTGACTATTAGAGTGGGAGAGAACTATGTCCTGTTAGCATTCTAATTATGGGCCCGAGCTAGGTACAGAGATACTAAGTAATCTAAACCAAGGTAGGGCCTTGCTGTACCTTCACTGTATCCAGAGGGTAGCCCACAGCAACACCGCAGACTCCTGCAACGCAATCAGAGGACCCAGTGAGACAGTAGGAGATGCCCTGTCAGCAGTGAGAGCCCACCCATGCTGAGGGATGGGAGAAGGTGGCCTCAAGCAAGCCCCCCTCTCCCACCTCCAGCTGACCTGGGCTCTGCCTCTCCGCAGCCAGCTGAGAAACCGAGGCTCTGTGTGCACCTGCCAAGCCTGCTAGGTATCTCCCAACCCCTCTCCTGGCCCAACAGTGCCGATCCCCATTGCCCAGGCCAAGGACATTCCTCAGCCTCCCCTCTGACATCACCTTTCAGTAGAACGCCTGGTTCCACTCTGGCTGACCCTGTCTCTAAGCCAGGCAAACTTTGCCCTCAAGCTTCTGCCTGCGCAGGGTTTGTGTGGGAACCAGGTGGACAGTCACACTTTGCAGAGGTGGGGGAGGGGCGTGTTCTGCGTAAAGGCCGGCTGAGCAGCCCTGACCCCCACCTGGGTCCCTGAACCACAGGTGTGCATGGGACAGAATGTGCACCGCTGCTGTGGTCTGGACAGACTCCCCCAGAGGCCCACGTGTGAGAGTGGCAGAGCCCATAGGTCGTCTTTAAGTCACTGTGCTCACGATTTGGAGGGGACTATGAAATTGCAACCCCTTGCTTTTCAACTTCCTGGCCAAGAGAACTCCCTGCCATTGTCCTCTAACACCCATACAGAGGCCCAAGCAACGAGGCCACCTGGTGGTCACAGCTTTGGGAACTGCCCACTGAGGAACCACTCCTCTGCCTGAGTGGATTAACTGAAGACGGCGGACAGCTGCCAGCCCACCTTGCAGAGGGGCCTGTAGTACCCACCCTAGCTTTGGACCAAGAGAGCCACACTGCCCTCCTGGCCCTGCCACTCCAGCTCTGGGGCCTCCACAGGGCCTTGGGCTTTCTAACCCCGAGCAAGGATGGTAAAAAACACCATGAAGGATGGCAAGGTCCATGGGGTTGTGTCCTGGGGTGCATTAGAATGAAGAATGGATGCCTGGGAGGGGGCAGGGAGGTATAAAGCAACTGCCTGGCAGGACACTCAGAATAGCCTTCTATGTCTCTCAAAGCCCTTACCAACTCCTATCAATCCCTCAAAGCCCTCCCCTCTTACACCTTCCTACTGTGCTTTTGGTTGCTTCTGCCTGGAAGCATGTTGATCAGAACCTGTGCCCCATGGCCTTGCTGCTATGCCTCACATGCCATGGCCACCTCTACATCTAGAGTTCTTAAAGGAAAGGCTTGGGTCTGAGTCCCTGGGACCCAGGACCCAGCACAGAGCAAGGACCCCTCACGAGGGCCTGTCCTGTGGCTATGAGGAGGGCATGACCTGTGACGTTAATGTTCAGAGGAGCAGCCAGCCTTGGTAGAGCCATAGGTCAAGACCCCAGGCAGCCCAGACAGGGCCAGGACTCAGTCCTCCCCAAGGCTGGTGCTGACTATCCTCGCAGGCCCCAGGCTGTTCCCAGCAGTGAGGCCAAGGGTGCCTCACTCAAAACAGCTGCACAGCCTGAGGATCATGGCCCCTGGGAAGCCCCACCTCTCCCCTCTGTTGTTTCGCCCCAGGAAAGAAACAGCTTCGTACACAGGTGGGCTAGATGTTGTTAGGCCCCAGGGGATCAGCGAAACCGTCCATCTGGGCCTGCTCTATGCCTCGTCCCGCTGCCTACAGCAGAACTCCTGGGAACACTGCTCTTCCCTGGAGCCTTCAGCCCTCCCCCATGATTCAGTCACCCACACCAAGGACCCCAGCCATCTCTTAACCCAACAGGGACATTCCTGTTCCCAAGCCAGGGATTCCTAGCCTGCCTCAGCATCCTGCCTGAGCTTCAAGGCCTTCCCGCTTCAGCACCCATAGTCCACCACGCCAGGAGTCTGCTTGAATACCAACTGCCTAAGGCTCCCTCCCACTTACCACACACACAAAGGCACCATCCCCAGCTATTCCCAACCCCTGTACCCCTCCATCGTACCTCCAATGGCCCCAGCAACAAAATCCATGGACAGCGTGGAAAATGGGAAGAGCTCTGGTCTCTCAGTCTAATGCCGCAATGGCCAGCTCCTACCAATTCTGCAGATCTTAAATACCTGTGAGCAGAGGCGGAGACATGGCTATTTTGATGCCACATTCACACCCCCAACAAGGATCCTGGTGTCAATGACCTCAGCATCAGGAAAGCATGTGAGAGGTCATGGGAGGTGGCCAACCCCGTAGGCCTGCCTCTGTTTCCGAATTCAGACTATGCCTGGCTTCTGGCTGCTTAGAATGACTGTATAAACAGTGATCCCTCGTGTGTGTACCCCACTTTACAGTTTACCTCCAGTCCTGGAAGGGAAGAGAGGCAAGGGCCTCTTCTTTTTTTTTTTTTTTTTCCGAGACAGGGTTTCTCTGTGGTTTTGGAGCCTGTCCTGGAACTAGCTCCTGTAGACCAGGCTGGTCTCGAACTCACAGAGATCCGCCTGCCTCTGCCTCCCAAGTGCTGGGATTAAAGGCGTGCGCCACCACCGCCCGGCTTGCAAGGGCCTCTTCTAATCGTGGAGCCACCGAGACCCCACAGGGGACTTGCCTGAGACAGTCACTATCTTAGAGCCATCCTATCTGATAGCCAGCCCTTGAAGGGAATGCAACCTTATCTGTATTGAACAGCACAGCTAGTTTCCTTCATAGACTCAGTGACCCAGGCTGCAGCCCTACAAAGTGACCTGGAGGGCACCCTCAGGGCCAGAGAGTCGCAGCAGAGTGGCTAGAAGGGGCGTGTTGATGAACATTTAGCAGTTTTATCTGGATGGCCCTCAGGGTATGGCAGCCACGTGTCCACCTGTTTTCCTATTAATTGTACACTGTCCTTGAACAGGCTAGTTTCAAACTAGGGATGACCCCCTCACCCCAACAGTTTGTCTGCTTTTAGGCAAGTAGGTGGTGCTAGCTAGCTGCCACGGCAGAGGGCAGAGGGCAGAGTGGGGGACAGAGGGAGACTGGAAGTAGCCTGGCCAAGGTCAGCTTTGATGTCCTTTCTTGTAGAGGGACCGTGGCTCAGCATCCACTTAGAAGTTGACCTGCCTGCCTTCAGATCCCAACTCTGCCGCTTGACTTTGAGACAAGGCCTTTGGCCTTCCTCTGCCCCCACTTTTGCACCCACAAAATCTGTGATCACACAGAGCAAACCCCAGCTGTGTTCTTGTAGAACTGCCAGCCAAATTCATTAATAGAAGCAGAAGGTCTAGAAGAAGGGATGCATCTGCTCTGGAGAGACAGCTGGGCCAGATGTTACACTCAAGACACTAGGACCTGGGTTAATGAGGGAGCCTAAAACACACTTTCCACCTGAGAGGACAGGGACCCTTCAGTCCCACATTGCCAGCAGAGTAGGACCCCAAGGCCCCACAGTTGTCTGGATACCTTTCTCTCTCTGGCCCACATCCAGACAGTCTTGCTGTCTCTCCTCCACTATCGCTGTCCGCCTGCACTGCCCTTACTGTGTCATTAACCCTGGACAGCAGCCCGCCTGTCCAGGCTCCTGGTGCATGCAACCAACACATGCCAGGTGTCAAACAGTGAGACACCCTGATAAACACAACAACCTCATCCCTGCCCTGGACACCTGATGTGCTGGCAATGACACGGAGAGCCCTAGACAGACAGGGAAAGTCCAGAGACGACGGCGAGGGCTGATGGAGTCAGCTGCAGCTTCCAGTTGGGCACGACCCTTACTGTGAAACAGAGCGGCTGTGACAACCCACAGGACACTCTCAAGAGAGCGAGCCTAGTGATGTCCCTCGTGATGCAGGAGGCTCCTGGGTCTCTCGAAGCCTCTCTCCACCCCAAGGTTACTTAAAAAAGAGCCGTGAGCACACAGTGTCAGAAACACAGATGGCATGTTTCCTCAACTCACATTTCTGTCGCAGTGACTGTGACTTGCCAAGTAACCCAGATTTTACCTGATGGCACGGCCAGCGGCAATCAGATTCTTCTATTCCGATCTTAGTTATTAATATTAGTTCTCAGGTCACATGTTACACAGTAATACACACACACACACACACACTGATTAAAAATGGATTCACCAGGTGGTGGTGGCACACCTTTAATCCTGGCACTCGGGAGGCAGAAGCAGATAGTTCTCTGTACATCTGAGGCCAGCCTGGTCTACAGAGCAAGCAACCAGGGCTACACAGAGAAACCATCTCAGAAAACAAAAGTGGAGTAAGGAGTGGTTATAAAGAGGCATCCCAGTCGACAGTGGAGAGCTGATAAGGACACATTGAAGGCTGTGGAGATGAGGTTTGGGGCCGCAAGCACAGAGACATCAGGTGCAGTCATTGAAGAGTCAGCCTGAAATGGGCTGTGTCACAGGCAGAGATCACTGCACTTGAGCTGAAGCAAGGGACAGGTTCAGTCCTCACTGTGGCAAAATGCCGAGACAGGGATGTGACTGACAGGCCACTCCGTGCACCTGCCCTGGTCCAGTCTTGGGCATTCCTTTTCAAGATGCAGGGGAGGAGTTCCATCTTCTTCAATGATAAATTCATGAGTCTGGTGCTCCTGGAGTGATGCTGTATTCACAAGCGTCGTTATTTAACATCCCAAAGAAATTGTTTGTGCCTCCTGGTGTGCTGGCAGGTGGAGTTTACCTGTGTAAACATGCTGTGAGAATCATTCTTTCTTGGCATTTACACTCAGAATGGAGTGTGGTGTCTTGAATGGGAACGGTCCCCATGGGTTTATATAGGTGAATGCTTGGTCACCAGAGAGTGGCACTATTTGAAAGGATTAAAAGAATTAGGATGGATAGCCTTAGAGAGGAAGTGTGTCGCTGGGGGAGGTGGGGTCTCTGAGGTTTCAGAAGTCCATGTGTGTGTGTGTGTGTGCGCGCACGCGTCTATGGCTCATGATGAAGCTCTCAGCTACTTTTCCATCACCACATCTGTCTGTGTACCTCCATGCTCCCTGCCATTGATGATGATGGACTAGACCTCTGAAATTGTAAGCAAGCTCCCAGTTAA